TGTAAATCCACACATATATTTATGTACATAACATAATCACTATCAAGCGCTTCCAACTGCACACACATTTAATCGGCATGGCTAGGTTTACAGGATTTTAATTAGAGCATTTGATGATCAACTGTCTACAGCAATTAAATTTTAATCTATTTAATTAATGAAATGAACACATCTCTTCATATACACATAAATGCATTTTATGTATGAAATAAAGAAAAAATCACATAGCAAAAAATCCACCGACTGTTTGATGATAATATTCCAACGAAATCTCTATGGACTGTGTGGACCTCCTCGACAAGTAGAGCACAAAAAATAATATAGACATGTCTCTATCTTTGGGATTATTAACTGATTAGAATTTGTTTAACCCTTAACACCTTTCTATAGCCTTCGCTCATTAATTTAGATTAATTAAATCGGGGTTTGTTATTACTAATTGCCGAAACCAACGGGTGTTGATTTCATAGAAATTTTTTTCATGGGGTCAACAAAATTGGAAATAATCCGAATAAACAATAATCCGAATAAACATAAACAAACAAACGTTGTCGGTCATTAATTTTGATTTCTTTCCTGTATTATGTCTTTCTTCTGATCTCTTATAAAAATTTCCTCATCCTTCTCTACATTCTATATTGGCTTTAAAAGTCTCCCTTCTCGCTTCCCAAATTGAAGATGTTGTATATAGGATATATATTCTAGGTCTTTTAAGACATACAAATACTGTCATCAGAGTATTTTCTTTAGATGGTTTTAAAAATCAAATAAATTTATATAAATGGATAGATAATAATTCTAAATTAATATTTTTATTAAATATACAGAAATTGTATCCATTGAATGTAAACATTTCATTAACACGCATAAGCCACGCATGCAATAATGTATAGCATACTTTTAGGCGTTAAGTAAAAACATCAAACAGCATTTTGCTAAATGGATTTTTTAAGGCATTTTTTTGCAGAACATGATACAACATTAAAGTAATGAAATATATATTTTGCCAAAATATATTTCATATCATAAATATTTAATAAAAATATCAATTTACTGACACTCAAAAAGGATTTATTTTGTTATAAAAACATACATGAACATTTTTCTTTATTCAATGTCATAAAAATTCGATAACCTACAAGAATCTATATATTCTATTAATTGAATTTTGGAAAAACAAAACTTTTGTGACCTTTTACACCAGGTATTTGAAGAAGCGAAATATTATTGTGCAATTTAATTCACAATAGAAAAGTCTATGTTTTGTTCCCGTACTTCATTAATAGTAGTAAAAGAGTGAAATCTCAATATCGTTCTCGTTCAATATCGAATCGTTCATAAATGATGATTTATTTATTTTTTTTTGTGTAAGCGACAGGGCGACGGCATCGGGACACCTTCAGCATTGACGTTTTCGATTTGAAGCTCTCATTGGAAATCATGTCGCAAAGTTTAAAATCTCATTTAGATTCACTTTTTTTTTTTGTATTTTTACAGATGTTTTCGTAATATTTCCATTCCATATCGTAGGTATTTAATTACAATGTTTAGGCCGTTAATTACAATGTTTACTCTCAGAAAAATAATTAAAAATATATGGTCTGTTCCGGTACTGCAAGAATCTACTTTTTACTACGATAACGAATTTTCCTTTATGATGTCGAAGAAAATAGTAAAATCGAGTAGATTCTTGCAGTACGGGAACAGACCAATAATGTTTTTAGCAGAATGAAAGAAAAAATGAAATGAAAACTATAAAAAGTACCTTCGGGGTAGATTCGACATTTTAAAGTGGGCATATTCGGCCATATACAGATAGTGCTATATTAATTTCTTTAAAATGTTTTTGAGTTTGTCTTAAAAAAATTATCCTTTAATATTGTTTGAAATTACATATATGTATAAGACCGAACGTTCTTGTATTGACGAAAATGCAATAGAAAAATGCTATTTCTGATTTTGGATATGGCCTCGAGACGTCAACATCCGCCGTAGAAAATATAGCCTTAAAGTAAAACATTGAGTCGCATATTAATACTAAATAGAACCTTTAGAGAAATTCGAAAATTATCATTCATCATTATATAATTGTCTCGGTTCCAGAACTTGCATGAATGTACAAATTGTTACTACTATAAAAATGTTTCGTTTATGATATCGAAAATAAAATAATAACTATTATTAGAACATTAATTATTAATAAACTAGAAAATTCGAATTTCGAAGTGAATTGCCACATCTACTGGGTCTAAAATAATTGTTTCAAGGTGTAACTAACGAAATAACCAACGTCCATTAAAAAGGTCGTGTAGGAGGCGAATATTATAAGCAAATTTGGTTGAAAATCCCCCAAACTGTCAAATTTTGTGTATACGTTTTCAGACGATGAATTCAAAATTAAAATAATTTTGACAGATCGGATGAAATTATGTTATACTCAGTAAGGTAGCCACATGGACGAATTTGTACAATAAACAACGGTTGTTGTACTGTGATATGTTAAAAACATTTTGTAAAAATAAACCGATTCATAAAAATTTTTACACAAATTCTTGTAAAAAAAATGTTAAAAAAGTATTACTAAACAAGCTCTTTAAAATTTGGAGATTTTCATTTATATTTTTTTTCTTTTAATTTGCAACATTTTTGGCATTTATTTTCAACAACAGCTGGATCTATGGGGTAAAATCATTTTGCATTATCGCACGACATTATTATTGGGCCATGGAAATAACAAAACTATTAAAAGTTCCGTTCCAGAACCTAAAAGAATCTACTAATTTTACAAGTTTTGCAACTTTTTATCCGAACACAAAACAAAATGGCATCCTCTTTGTAAACTTTTTACTCGAAAAATTTGTCCGAGTAAAAATGGTAAACAGGAATGCAAACTTCTGATTGGCTGTTATGCTGATTTTGAAGTATTGCCATCTAATTTTGGCATATTTACTAGATTTGCGTTCCCGAACTTTTCAAATTATTTCAAAACCCTGAGAGCAATTTTGAAATGTTTCCCTTTTAATAGATTTACTATTAAAAAAGTACAGGAACAGAACAATAATTTGTATAAATTTTTAAAGTTATTGCCTACGTAGATCAATAACCGTGGTACATTTGTACCCATCCAAAATAATAATTCATTCAAGAGGCGTATATTACACTGTGCAACACAAAAAAAATCACCGGGAAAGTCCAACAGATTATGAAAGAGGGGCTTAAAAAAGAAGAAGGCAAAAACTAGTAATAAGTACGATTTAACCCTAAAAAGATTTTCTGTTTTTTTTTAAATTTTTACCATTTAAGGGGACCCCCCCCCCCCCCCCCATTCTCGGGGTCAAAATTTTTGTTGATATAATTCGAATCTACACTGATTAAAGAATGTCCCTACAAAATTTCAAGTGAAAATCTCAAGAACTCTTGAAGATATAGCCGATTTATTGTGTCAGCATCAAGTGACGGCTAAAGGGGTTCTCAAACTTTAAACGCGTTTTTCTCTAAACATTTTTTTGCGAATGGCGGGCACGATAACTCAAAAACTAATAATCCAATCGGTTCAAAATTTTGCAACGTTTCTCTGGGAGTGTATAGCTCTCGTATGAACTAGGATAAAGCCAATCGGTGAATATCTTCCTTATTTTTTAACTTGGTTTTTGGTAAAAAATCGGCGATTTTCCAAGAATATTTTTTCAAAGGTCCACTATTTTGTTAATTTTAGAGCGAAGTCAATAATCCTAGTTCATACGAGAGCCAGACATGTACTCTTTCTAACACCGTTGGAATTTTCGGATTCCGATGTTCCAGTGAGGAGTTATCATGCCCGCCATAAAAAATAAGGACTTTTCATTAATTACAAAAAACAACAACAAAAAATAACAAAAATTTTTTGTAAATTATTTTTCTTCTCTTTTAAATCTTCAAATATATATGTGCAAAGTTACAAACCTTAACAAGCATTGGTATTGATTTACCAGCCCATTGAAATTCTTGAAAAATTAAAATCGAGAATGGGTGGGGTTCCCTTAAGCTGATTTATGAGTTTTAGTCTATTCTGAGACTTATAGTAAAACATTATGACGCACATTTCTGTAGAATACACGTGCCTTCTTTTTTCAGCCCCTCTATGGGGATCAAAGCTATAAGTAAGTATATGTATTTTATATCGATCTAATTTATTTATTCTCTAACCCCACTGCAAATTTCACTCTACATTTTCATTGAAAAAATGTATGTAACATTTTTACAACGATAACCATTTTTCCTTGGCATCGAAAAAAATTAGATTCTTGCAATATGGGAACTGAACATTAATTACTAATAATCAAAAAAATCGAATTTCCGTTGCGAACTCAATTATTATAACCTCAATCAAATGGTATGGAAAATACACGAACACAGCTATGACAAGCCCACAACACAAACGAGTATTGTGATTTTTCATTCACAATAAGAAAGCATAAACAAACAGCCTAGACTTCAAGTAAATATTTTTATTTACCGAAAACGATTTAAAAATATCAATATTTATTTAATGTTAATTAAACTGTATATTATTTGAGAAATAAATATCAAAATATCAACAAATATATTAAAATATTCTAAAATATATTCATTTTCTGTAACAGTTATTGCTAAAATATTTACCGGTAAATGAATTCGCCGCAATCACAGGCGAAATGTTCATTGAAAAAATAACGCCATTATAATAGGGCCATGCACATGATGTCAGAACAACTCTCTTCCCCACTGTTTTCTCTCTTAAAATATTGACATTTCACTTACGAAATCACATAATCGAAATGTCAATTTTCCATTTCAATTCTTCTTTCAGATAGTAAAGAGAAATTGCGGCGTAAAGAAGTCTGATAAAGAAGCAGAGCGGTACTACGGGCATTTTTTTGGCCGAAAATTTTGTCCAGAAAGATTGAACATTGCATCAGCAACTTGATTGATTTTTAGTTCGTAATTTTGTGCGTTTCGAATCAAGAAAAAGTTCCAGTGAAATGTTGTCTCGTTTGGTTACAAAACAGCGCCTCTTCAATGTTCGCCAGATTAGCCAATTGCAGGCATTCCGAGTGGCTTCTCCACGCAACTCCTCGGCGGTGTTGATTGCGAGAAATAATTTCAATGCTCAGCTGCGGCGGCAACAACAACAATTGCGTACGGCATTGGGGGCAGTAAGTTCGAGAACATTTTGCAGCAGTAATAACAAGCAGGGCGAAGATGAAGATCTCTTGGATGCTCAGGATTTTATTGTCAACAAAGATCAAAAATTACCGGCAACTGTTGCGGTGCCGGAGGTGTGGCCACATGTTCCACTGCTGACGACACATCGTAATCCAGTGTTTCCTCGTTTTATGAAAATTATGGAGGTGAGTAGAGTTCTTCTTCCCAGTCAGCTGGCGGTGCTTATATAAAGTTTGTTGACAATTAACTTCGTGTTCAATTGTTGTTGTAGATCACCAATCCCCAATTAATTGATTTGATTAGACGTAAAGTGACTCTGAATCAACCCTATGTTGGTGTCTTCCTTAAAAAAGATAGCACAAATGAAGCGGAAGTTGTACAAAATCTGGATGATGTCTACAAAGTGGGTACCTTTGCCCAAATTCAAGAACTTCAAGATTTGGGTGATAAGTTGCGTATGGTTGTTGTGGCCCACAGACGTATCAAGATAACAGGGCAAATTCTGGAAGAACTTGTGCCACAAGGTAAACATTTTGAAATATTAATTCATTTGAGATGTAATTTAATTCATCCATTCATTATCTAGTCATCTTCCCTCCGAGAAAAAAAAAGAAAACATTGGAACTCAGCTGTTCGATGAAGGGAGAAAGAGGGGGAAGAATTTTCTCTCTTTGATTTGAATTTTCAAGAGAAATGTTTAATTAAGAGAGTTTCTAGGGGTTTCTTATATAGGATTGCCAAATTGTGTTATAAACGACTATAGATTTGTTTTTAATTTCGAAATAGTTTTGTATCGGAAGAGATCAAACCCCTCAAAGGACCTTCTAAAGATTGAAATTCATTTATATCTGTTTTAAGGCCCTGTTGAGGCTAAAATCATTAAGGCTTAAGGTGTAAAATATTTGAACTACTCCAGAATTTTTTGAATTCCCCTTTAAATCCTTCAATCCTTCTGGTACCTCACCCACAAAATGGTGAAATAAATATTTTATAATATATCATGCGAACGGGCTATACAATTTGAACCAAACTTGGCACAACCTATTGTCTTAACCAAGCCTAGATCAAGTCCTTCTGGTACCTCCCCTAAAAATGGTCAAAATATTCAATATTTGTAAATCCAATATCAGGCGAATGAAATATCCGATTTGAACCAAACTTGGCCCGACCTATTATCTTTGCCAAGCCTAGATCAAGTTGGAAAATGGGCCCCATTGGTCCACTCCTTCTGATACCTCCCCACAAATGGTCAACATTTTCAATATTTATAAATCCAATATCAGCCGAAAGGAATGTCCGATTTGAACCGAACATTGCACAACCTTTTATCTTGATGGTTACAAAGTTCTGATGAAGGATCGCACCAGATCGTCACTCTAGTGACCCATACATGGAATGTAACGTGTATATACAACCGATTAACAGATGTGAACCGTATTATTTGCCTAACATTAACTTGCTATTGGAGGGCAATAGCCTTCTGGTACTATGAGATTTCAATTCTCACCATGAGTTGTGGGATTCCGTCCTAGGTAATGATCAGATGTGAACAGTGCTGGCAGAGTAAATTGATAGATCCACGTCTTCCACTGAATAAGAGGAGAGTGTCACTGTTCGCCAGACATAACCATTGTGTCACCCCGTCAGATAAATTACGTCAACTGGCAGCCCGACATAATCGTCTCCATCAAAAGACTGCCCGATTTCATCATCTCTGAACGCCATACTTTCCTTAACCATCGGAATGCCAAACGTCAAGGATTCAGAGAGTTTACCAATCAGCGTTTCAGAAAACTTTCTATTACTTTTGGTGTACAGGTACCAGAAAGGAAATTTCAGGACATCATTGCAGCTGCAACCGCTAGATTTATATCTGCTGGTCGAATGCCCCAGATGAGACCTAATTTCCAGCAGAGACAGTTGGTGTACCAAATGAGCGTTATGAGCTCCGTCGACCTAAACCAGCAGATCCCAGGGTCAGGAAACTCAGATTGGAGGTCAGTATATTAGTCGCAAAGCATAAGCGGAATAAATGGTTGGAGCATCTGAAGAGTGTCAACATCGGAACCGGTGTGAGTAAACTGTGGACAAAGGTGAGGTCGCTCTCGAACCCTGGTTAGAAGGATGATAGGACCACAGTCACGTTAAACGACGAAACTGTGACTGATCCGAAGAGATGTGCAAGTTATTTTATCCAACAGTTTGTCGAGCATTCCCAGACTGATAGGGCGAAGCGAAGAGTACTGCGTCGTATAAGATCTCTTCTGATTTCACTTTTAACACCAACAGCGAAGACTTTTTTTGGCATTGCTTCTCCCCAGTCTGCGAATACTATGCTACGTTATGGAGACATATTCAGGCCTGTCAGAACGACGCCCTAAAAACTGCAACAGGCTGCTTCCCCATCCTTCCCTTACGTCAGCATAGCAATATACTTTCGTTGTAGTACCTGCTTGGGTGATTCAGGGATAATCATTGTCATATGTGGGTAAAAATACCCCACCCAAGCGTGTCAGGAAGGATCTGCATGAGAGGAAGTTCCAACGTTATAAAAGGGAGCCTCAAGATCAAGTTGCCTATCGAGCAAGTCTAATTAGTATTCATACTGATGTAGTTGTTGCAGCGCTGAATGAATTTCACTCCGTCATCGGAGCTATACAGAAATCCTTCATAAGATTATGAATTTACACAAGAACTTCGGAAGCTTTCCATATATATGACGTTATTAATAGACCTTTAAAAGTTACTTCATTCGTCTACTATCTGCAGAAGTTCTCCGGAAGGACAAGTATTTAAGTAAATCCTTTGAAATCATGCTCATTTCGGAAGCAGCCGTATAGAAAGTTGCAATTTTTCACTGGCGCGTATTTTGGTTTTAGGCACCTCATATACAAGGCAGAATGCCCAGCCGAACTTAAGACCTTTATAAGTGTTGTATATAGGGTCTCAAAGCTTTCAATGTCCTCTCCACATTTGTTCCCCACTTCCAGCTCTCCCAACATTTCATTCATTATGTATTCTCCTTCAAAATCGGAGTATATGCATTTTATATGTCTTTTGTCTTCTATCTCTCCGATTCATTTCTTTCTTGTTTCTACTCAGAAAAAACAACAACAATACATTATCCACTATTTAATATTAAAATGCAAATACCAGCAGATGAAACGGCAAAAACTGGTAGTACCGGCAGCAGCAAATCCAATAACGAGCTTGAACGTCGTAAAATGGCCAGGAAGGCAAGAACAGGACGTCTGCAAAAACGTGAAGTACCACCAGAAGAAACTACTACTACCTCAACCACAGAGACATTATATGATGCTAATGTCGTGAAGACTCCTTTAACACCTGAAGATACTAAAGCCAGTAGTACTGGTGCTGAAACTGTAACTGAGGATAAGGAAAAACCCAGCACCGAATCGACAACATCTACAGAACCAGAAGCTCCTTCCGAACCAATGCCAGTTTTAATGGTTGAAGTTGTCAATGTTAAACATGATAACTTCAAACAGACTGAAGAAATAAAGGCCTTGACGCAAGAAGTTATTAAGACCATACGCGATATTGTTATTATGAATCCGCTGTATAGGTAGGTGAATGGTTAAAATTTTTCTATGGAAGGGTAATTAATTGGTTTTCTTCTATTACAGGGAAAGTTTACAACAAATGTTGCATCAAAATCAACGTGTCGTTGATAATCCTGTGTATCTGTGCGATTTGGGTGCCTCCTTGTCGGCTGCCGATCCAGAAGAACTCCAAAAAGTTATGGAGGAAATGGATGTAAGTAACGAAGCCTGGATTAAAAAAAAAACTTAAGGCTCTTCTAAAAAAATCTCAAGGCTCTCCTAAGACGTGAATTTTTAAAAAAAATTTTTTTTAAGCCTCTCCTTTCTTCCTCTTCCCCTTCCAGATCACCAAACGTCTTCACTTGGCCTTGGCCATTTTGAAAAAAGAATTGGAACTCTCGAAATTGCAACAGAAAATCGGCCGCGAAGTTGAGGAGAAAGTCAAGCAACAACATCGTAAATATATTCTACACGAACAGTTGCGAGCCATCAAAAAGGAACTGGGCATCGAGAAGGATGACAAGGATGCCATTGGTGAAAAATATCGTGAAAAACTGAAGGATAAAAATGTCCCAGAAAATGTTATGGCTGTCATCGATGAAGAGTTGAATAAATTGAATTTCCTTGAATCACATAGTTCGGAATTTAATGTGACCCGTAACTATTTGGATTGGTTGACTTCGTTGCCATGGGGTGTTTCCAGTGAAGAGAACCTCAGTCTAGAACAGGCCACCGAGATTTTGGATCATGATCATTACGGTATGGATGACATCAAGAAGAGAATTTTGGAATTTATTGCCGTCTCACAGCTGAAGGGTACAACACAGGGTAAAATTTTGTGTTTCCATGGACCACCTGGTGTGGGTAAAACTAGTATTGGTAAGGAGAGATATCAAATAGAGTCAAGGTTCCAAAAGTTAATGACATTTTTATTTCAGCTCGTTCCATTGCCCGGGCTTTGAACCGTGAATATTTCCGTTTCAGTGTGGGTGGCATGACAGATGTGGCCGAAATCAAAGGTCATCGCCGTACATATGTTGGTGCCATGCCCGGCAAGGTGATTCAATGCATTAAAAAGACCAAGACTGAAAATCCTTTGGTACTTATTGATGAGGTGGATAAAATTGGACGGTAAGCTGTTTTCAAAGGTCCAATAAAACCTCAATTTATTAAGGATTTTTGTTAAATTTTAGCGGCTATCAAGGCGATCCCAGCTCTGCCCTGTTGGAACTCTTAGATCCCGAACAAAATGCCAATTTCCTTGACCACTACTTGGATGTTCCCGTCGATTTGTCTCGTGTACTTTTCATTTGCACGGCCAATGTTATCCACACCATACCCGAACCTTTGCGTGATCGTATGGAACTTATTGAAATGTCTGGCTATGTGGCTGAGGAAAAGGTTGCCATCGCTCGGCAATATTTAATTCCTCAAGCTATGCGTGATTGTGGTGTCGATGAGAAACAACTGACCATTACCGATGATGCTTTGAATACGTTGATTCGCAGTTATTGCCGTGAATCGGGTGTACGTAATCTCCAGAAACATGTTGAGAAAGTTGTACGCAAGGTGGCCTTTAAATTGGTGCAAAAGGAGGGTGACCACTTTGAAGTGAATGCCAATAATTTGACCACATTCTTGGGTAAACATGTCTTCTCGTCGGATCGTATGTATGAACAAACACCTCCCGGTGTTGTTATGGGCCTAGCATGGACAGCAATGGGTGGTTCAGCATTATATATTGAAACAGCGCCACGTTCTTTGGTGAAGTCATCGAAATCGGAGGGAGCCAGCGGCAGTGTTAATGTCACGGGTAATTTGGGAGATGTCATGAAGGAGTCGGCACAAATCGCTTTAACTGTTGCACGGAATTATATGAGTACCGTCGATGCCAGTAACAATTTCTTAGATACCACGTAAGTATTGGATCATAAATTTTTAAATTAAATGTTTAAAAATATTTTTCTAAAGGGCAACAAGAGGCGTGGATTTTTATAAAAATTTTTTTTTAAGGCCTGGATTTTTATAAAAACTATTTTTTCAAGGCGTAGATTTTTTAGAATATATTTTTTCAAGGCGTAGATTTTTTTAGAATATATTTTTTCAAGGCGTGGACTTTTATAAAAATATTTTTTTCAAAGCGTGGAATATTTTTAAAAATGTTTTTTTTTTCAAGGCGTGGATTTTTATAAAAATATTTTTTCAAGGCGTGGATTTTTTTAAAAATATTTTTTCAAGACGTGGATTTTTATAAAAATATTTTTTCAAGGGGTGGATTTTTATAAAAATATTTTTTCAAAGGGTTGGATTTTTATAAAAATAGTTTTCCATGGCGTGAATTTTTAGAAAAATATTTTTTCAAGGCGTGGATTTTATAAAAAAAAATTTTTCAAGGCTTGAATTTTTATAAAAATATTTTTTCAAGGCGTGGATTTTATAAAAAAAAAATATTTTTTCAAGGCTTGGATTTTTATAAAAATATTTTTCCTAATGCGTGGATTTTTATAAAAATATTTTTTCCAAAGCGTGGATTTTGATAAAAATATGTTTTTTTCAAGGCGTATATTTTTATAAAAATATTTTTTTAAGGCGTAAATTTTTATAAAAATATTTTTTCAAGGCGTGGATTTTTAAAAAAATATTTTTTTTCAAGGGGTGATTTTTTATTAAAATATTTTTTTCAAAGCGTGATTTTTTATAAAAATATTTTTTCAAGGCGTGGATTTTTATAAAAAAAAATTTTTAAGGCGTGGATTTTCATAAAAAATATTTTTTTCAAGGCGTAGAATATTTTAAAAAATATTTTTTCAAGGCGTAGAATATTTTAAAAAATATTTTTTTAAGAGTGGATTTTCATAAAAAATATTTTTTTTGAAGGCATAGAATATTTTAAAAAATATTTTTTTCAATGCGTGGATTTTAAAAAAATATTTTTTCAATGCCTGGATTTTTATAAAAAATATTTTTTCAAGGCGTGGATTTTTATAAAAATATTAGGATTTTTATAAAAATATTTTTTCAAGTGGAATTTTATAAAATGTTTTTAAAAAAAATATTTCTTTTTTATTCCAGCAATGTTCATTTACACGTTCCTGAGGGTGCAACACCCAAAGATGGTCCCAGTGCTGGTGTGACAATTGTTACCGCCCTTATGTCATTGGCTTTGAATAAACCTGTCAGACAAAATATTGCCATGACTGGAGAAGTTTCACTTAAAGGCCGAGTACTGCCTGTGGGTGGTATCAAGGAAAAGACTATTGCGGTAAGACCTATATTTCAGATAGGTGATTTTTTGTGTTATAATTAATTGTATATTTCTTCCGATTCCAGGCTAAACGCAGTGGCGTAACATGCATCATTCTACCCGAAGAAAATCGCAAAGATTACGATGAATTACCCGCCTTTATCACTGATGGCCTAGAAGTTCACTTTGCCTCCGTTTACGATGATGTCTATCGGATTGCCTTTGGCCATCAGGAAGAACAAAAACAAAAGCAGCAACAACAATAACCGTAGAATAGTTACGATTTATAATCATCCATAATGTCATTAATGCTAAGCATTATACGAGTTTATATTTTAATGAAAAGGAATTAATTTCATTTTTTGTTTTCTTCGCGTTTGACTTCTTTGCTTTCTCTCATCATTCATACAAAAAACAACAAAACCAAAACGAAACTAATTATTTTTTATTGTATTATGTAATTGTAAGGAACTGTTATATTTGTAACTGTTTTTTATTACATTTATTGTTTGTTTTTTGCTTCTGTTTTTTTTTACAATTTTTATGTAAAAAAAGACACTTCGAAATCCACACACAATAGAATTGTTAATTATAGTGAGTTAAAATATATATAGACATGTAATTGTTAATATTATTAATAAAAACGAAAATAGTTTTAAAACAAAGAACAACTTACAACAATAAAAACACATTGTGGCATCTGTGAAAAAGCGTAGAGTTTAAAGGATTTTTTCTTAAGGTTTAAAGAATTCGATATGTGAATTTTTTTAAGAATATTTTCTCCAATATTGGAAGAGCTTTTTAAGGCGTGGATTTTAAAGAATATTTTCCCAAGCCTAAGCATATTTTTCTCCGCCTTTGGGGAGCGGAGCTGAATGCTAACGGGCGCGTCCACAGGTTGTGGATAGTGGGAAGCCCAATACTATTCATTGGGTAGCTGTGACTAACAAATAAACAGTCGCGGACAATCATCGGGCTCAGGGGAAGAATATCGGAGGAAATGACCGAGTGCCTATGATCCCTGGCGAGAATGGCGCCCCTATATAACCATCTCAAAAGGTCTGGGTCACAACCTTTTAAAAGTGTCCCTCCTAACGCTGGGGTGTCATGCGACCTCGTGCCCATCAGCGTTCTACGGTTTGCTGTCAGGGTCCCGACTGTATTAGAACGAGCCTTATTGACACCAAGTTTATTCACACTTAGATGACAAGTCCTTGCCATGGTAAGAGGTTATGACATGGTCGATCTCAACCCCTCACAGCATTTTTTATGGAGCCGAATTTTAATATTCCACCCTCCCCTCAGGAGAGCATTAGCTCTGGTATGACTCGCCCTTGTCGGATGAGGAAGACATCATGGAAACTACGGTGAAAAGTAGCGATCATGGCGTCTCCTCCGAAGCAAGGAGAGCCCTCCCAGTTGCTGACTAGGGAAGTAAACCCTGGCTATCTACACTCAATCTCCACGGCCTGTAGTGATGTCGCGAAATTACTCAGGCAATTGGCTGTAGAATCGTATACTGGTACTGATACAAAGACCATCACGGTAGTTCCTTCAAAGAAGGAGAAACCTGTCGGAGGTTCTAGTACACCTAAGAAGCTGGTGCCTGAGACTTCTAAGACCTCAGTACCCCGCAATGATAAATTGAGTATTGAGGGGTTATGAACTGGGAAGTATCTGGGAAATACTCCTTTTTGGATCATAGACTGATATCTTTCCAGATTCCTACCTCCAGGGGTAAACAGAAGCCTTATAGGAATCCTCGGAAGACAAACTGGGAAAAATTCAAAGCAAAAACAGCAGCCGCATTCCTGAGTCATTCCTGAGTCTAAAAACGTTTGAGGATGTTGAAGAAGCTGTGAACAATGTTACGGTCACTCTTCTGAAGAGCTATGAGGCTTCTTGTTCCCTAACATACCTTGGGAAAAAATCTCAGCCGGTATGGTGATCACAAAACCTTTCATCCTTGAGGAAGGCTGCAAGCTAGTAAGGCAAATTCCGGTACAGATTGGGACGTTTATAGAAGACAGTCCAATAGGTACAATAGCGAAATCAAGAAGGCTAAACGTAAGTCTTGGGTCTGCTATAGTGAGTCAACGAAGCGGCCAGATTTCGCAGAGTACTATCTAAAGATCCAAAATCTATAAGTAGTATTAAGCAAAGTGATGGAACGTGGACAAACTCTGGCAGTGAGACTCTTGATCTTCTATCGTCAACCCACTTTCCTGGTTGTAAGGACTATAGGGAGGGTGCGCAGTGTGCGCATCAACTACCCAAAACTGGTATGGTTGGTAAATAGTTTTCAACCCTGCCTCTCTGTAGAACATTTTTAGGGCTTGTCGACTTCTATCATACATTCCTAGTCTATGAAAAGAGGTAACAGTGACCTTCATCCCGAAAGCCGGGGAGCCGAGTCATACGTTACCAAAAGACTTTAGACAGATTAGCCTCTCTTCCTTTCTACTGAAGACTTTAGAAAGGTTACTAGACTCAGAAGTTAGAAACACTATTGAGCAAAGCAAACTTAGCAACTCCCAGCATGCATACATCAAAGGCAAATCAGTGGATACAACCTTACATGAGGTGGTTGGATGCATCGAGAAGAATATGGAGTCCTCTGGCTACTCTTAGGCATGGCTACTCTGGGCATACGTCAAAGGTCTTGGCATAAACCCCTCTAAGACAAAATTGGTGCTCTTCACTAGGAGACGTAAGATTCCTAGTTTCCGTCTGCCATCACTGGGAGGAGTGGCTCTAACCCTTTCTGAAGAAGCAAAATACCTTGGTACTATCCTTAACCGCAAATTTACGTGGAATAGGAATGTTGAGGAACGCTCTAAGAAAGGACTGCTAGCACTCTACTCATGCAAGAACTCCATAGGTAAGAGCTGGGGACTAAGACCGGAGATCATACACTGGCTGTATGTGACGATCGTTCTCCCCATTCTTATACATGGTTAGCTTGTTTGGTGGCAGAAGTCAACAAAAAGATGCTACAGACAGCGATCGGCTTCAATCCTGATCACCGGAGCGCTAAGAAGTACACCACAGGTTGCCTTGAATGGAATCTTGAATCTCCAACCACTGGACATTCTGATTAAATTCCAGACGGCCAGGTGTGCTCTGAGGCTCTGGGAAACGGATGCCTGGAAATCGCTGAACTATGGTCACGCTAGTATCCTAAACACAATAACAGGCTGTGACCTCTTGAGGGGAAATATTCAGATTAGGGACTATGTTCCCTCTCACAGAGACTTTAGTAGATAGATAGTAATATTACTTACTGGCGACATTACGGGACCGATGACTATATATGTCGATAGTTAGGCGGCCCTTAAGGCGTTGAAGTCGTGTACTATAAACTCAAAAGCAGTTCATGATTGCAAGTCGCTCTGAATGATATACGACAGATAGTTAGCTTATGTTGGGTTCCAGGACATAGTGGCTGTGAAGGGAATGAGATAGCCGACGAGCTTGCTCGAGGGGGCTCACAAACGTCCAATCTTCCTATTGAAACCACCCATTGGCTATTTTATTGGGAAAATCCGCTTGTTCTTCTGCTAGGTAGTGGCTAACAGATGACCGAGAGAACCTGGTTGCAGAATCTCAAAATATATCTGGCCTGAATTCTCTCGCAAAAGAACATCTTCGCTGCTGGCACATAATAAGAGAGAGATCAAAATCATTGTGGGGATCATAACAGGTCACTGCAAGATTCGACCTCTTACTTCGAAGTGGGACTCCGGCGAAGAGGATTATTGTCGTCTATGTGAGGACGAAGAAGAACTGGAAACAATTGAACATATCCTCTGTAAATGTCCATCGGTGATCGGCAGAAGACATAATAAGTTTGGAAGATATGAAATTGATAATCTACCCATTTTCTCTAAAATAGACTCCAACCAGATCCTAGGCTTTGACAAATCAGTTTGGAAGATATGAAATTGATAATCTAGCCATTTCTCTAAAATAGACTCCAACCAGATCCTAGGCTTTGTAAAAAATCCGGCATGCATAAATTAACCATTTCTCCGCTCTCCTTCTCTCACTATTTTTGCTTGCTCTTCCACTCTCTCTTCTCTTTCTCTTTGCAGGTAAAAAATGATGACCACAATGGTTATCAGTCTCCGAGTGGAGGGTTGTTACTAACAACCGTACATCCCTAACCTAACTTTAGACTCTTAAAAGTATTTTTTTTTAATATTTTTTTATCATTTTCTTTTTATTTTAGTTCTTGAAAAAAATTATATATCTTAAATCTATTTAGACAACTTAACCTGATTTATATATATTTATATGACAATAATAAAATACGGCATAACACTTTAGATCCGACAATTAGATATCGGAATTTTCAATAATCCAATGTAAGTATCTATCCACACGGGTATACATGCCCGGACGATTCGGCTCACCACAGCGTATACCCCAGGAAACGATCCCAACAGTGACCCAACGTCTATTGGGTAATTGAACCAACAGCGGGCCACCACTGTCACCTTGACATGAGTCTTGGCCACCTTCAGGATAACCGGCACAGAGCATAGTGTCGGGGACTCGCTCCACAATGGCGTCACGGCAATCTTGCAATTTCCAAATGGGCAAGGATGCCTATAAAAGAAATTAAGAAGAACATTAGATCCAATAGGGTATATATAGGTTTCAGTGAGTGTCTCACCTCCATTAAAATATCCGAATGCGGCCCCCCGAATGTCTGTGTACCCCAACCGGTCACGATGCCCATACCCCCGCTCCAATCCTCACCAATCGGTGGCATACAAACCGGCCAAATATAGGTATTAAATATTGTCGGCCTATCGATACGTATCAGGGCAATATCATTTTCATAGGTTAGCGGATCATAATCGATGTGGGTTATCATATTTGCAATACGGAAATCTCTTGCCCTTGTCTCATTCATCAGTAGGGTATTATATTCGCCGAGGCGAACAAACATATCTTCCTTTTTGATTTTATATACACAATGAGCGGCGGTGAGGACATGACGATCTGTCACTAAAACACCACCACACCAAACGTGTGGAAGACCTGGTCTCAACAGGGCAGCCATCCATGGCCATTCATCGGGTTCCGCCGGACGTCCACGTGATACTCGTGGAAATTGTTTTGTCGTTACACCACAACCTCTTTGTTCGGCGTGGACATTAACAACCCGGGGTTCGGTAACATCTTCATTGGTGAGGATTTGGGGTCCCAGGCGATCTAAAATACGCATAGGGCAACACATGCCAATTGTGCTGGAAGGGGAGAGAGAAAGAGATATGGGATTATAAAAGATTTTTGGTAGAATATGGGTCTTAGGGGACCTTCTACACACAGCAGACCCTTTGAGAGGTATCAAAGAAACCCATTAAGAGGTATTTTACCCCTAGAAGTCTATTGATTCTTACCTTCCCTGAATGACACATAAGTGTGATACCAAACGCCACACGTCATCCTTCAATTCGGGCATACGACAGTAGACAATGTGACGACAGGTACCCTCTTCTCCCGAGGGTGTACGGCAGGATCCGAAAGAACGGTTCTCCTATAAAAAATGAAGATTTGGTCAAGGATTGGAAGAGCTCTAGGCGTGGATTTTTAAAGAATATTTTCTCAAGGCAAGGAGGCTCTATAGGCGTGGATTTTTAAGAATATTTTCTCAAGGCAAGGAGGCTCTATAGGCGTGAATTTTTAAAGAATATTTTCTCAAGGCAAGGAGGCTCTATAGGCGTGAATTTTTAAAGAATATTTTCTCAAGGCTGGGAAGAGCTCTAGGCGTGGATTTTTAAAGAATATTTTCTCAAGGCTGGGAAGAGCTCTAGGCGTGGATTTTTTAAGAATATTTTCTCAAGGCTGGGAAGAGCTCTAGGCGTGGATTTTTTAAGAATATTTTCTCAAGGCTGGGAAGAGCTCTAGGCGTGGATTTTTTAAGAATATTTTCTCAAGGCTGGGAAGAGCTCTAGGCGTGGATTTTTAAAGAATATTTTCTCAAGGCTGGGAAGAGCTCTAGGCGTGGATTTTTAAAGAAGATTTTCTCAAGGCAAGGAGGCTCTATAGGCGTGGATTTTTAAAGAAGATTTTCTCAAGGCAAGGAGGCTCTATAGGCGTGGATTTTTAAAGAAGATTTTCTCAAGGCAAGGAGGCTCTATAGGCGTGGATTTTTAAAGAAGATTTTCTCAAGGCAAGGAGGCTCTATAGGCGTGGATTTTTAAAGAAGATTTTCTCAAGGCAAGGAGGCTCTATAGGCGTGGATTTTTAAAGAAGATTTTCTCAAGGCAAGGAGGCTCTATAGGCGTGGATTTTTAAAGAAGATTTTCTCAAGGCAAGGAGGCTCTATAGGCGTGGATTTTTAAAGAAGATTTTCTCAAGGCAAGGAGGCTCTATAGGCGTGGATTTTTAAAGAAGATTTTCTCAAGGCAAGGAGGCTCTATAGGCGTGGATTTTTAAAGAAGATTTTCTCAAGGCAAGGAGGCTCTATAGGCGTGGATTTTTAAAGAAGATTTTCTCAAGGCAAGGAGGCTCTATAGGCGTGGATTTTTAAAGAAGATTTTCTCAAGGCAAGGAGGCTCTATAGGCGTGGATTTTTAAAGAAGATTTTCTCAAGGCAAGGAGGCTCTATAGGCGTGGATTTTTAAAGAAGATTTTCTCAAGGCAAGGAGGCTCTATAGGCGTGGATTTTTAAAGAAGATTTTCTCAAGGCAAGGAGGCTCTATAGGCGTGGATTTTTAAAGAAGATTTTCTCAAGGCAAGGAGGCTCTATAGGCGTGGATTTTTAAAGAAGATTTTCTCAAGGCAAGGAGGCTCTATAGGCGTGGATTTTTAAAGAAGATTTTCTCAAGGCAAGGAGGCTCTATAGGCGTGGATTTTTAAAGAAGATTTTCTCAAGGCAAGGAGGCTCTATAGGCGTGGATTTTTAAAGAAGATTTTCTCAAGGCAAGGAGGCTCTATAGGCGTGGATTTTTAAAGAAGATTTTCTCAAGGCAAGGAGGCTCTATAGGCGTGGATTTTTAAAGAAGATTTTCTCAAGGCAAGGAGGCTCTATAGGCGTGGATTTTTAAAGAAGATTTTCTCAAGGCAAGGAGGCTCTATAGGCGTGGATTTTTAAAGAAGATTTTCTCAAGGCAAGGAGGCTCTATAGGCGTGGATTTTTAAAGAAGATTTTCTCAAGGCAAGGAGGCTCTATAGGCGTGGATTTTTAAAGAAGATTTTCTCAAGGCAAGGAGGCTCTATAGGCGTGGATTTTTAAAGAAGATTTTCTCGGCATGATCCAAAAGAACGGTTTTCCCATAAAAAAAAATTAAGAAAATTTTGTCAAGGATTGGAAGAGCTCTAGGCGTGGATTTTTAAAGAATATTTTCTCAAGGCTGGGAAGAGCTCTAGGCGTGGATTTTTAAAGAATATTTTTTCAAGGCTGGGAAGAGCTCTAGGCGTGGATTTTTAAAAAAGGTTTTTTTAAGGCTGGGAAGAGCTCTAGGCGTGGATTTTTAAAGAATATTTTCTCAAGGCAATGAGGCTCTATAGGCTTGGATTTTTAAAGAATATTTTCTCAAGGCAATGAGGCTCTATAGGCGTGGATTTTTAAAGAATATTTTCTCAAGGCAATGAGGCTCTATAGGCGTGGATTTTTAAAGAATATTTTCTCAAGGCTGGGAAGAGCTCTACGCGTGGATTTTTAAAGAATATTTTCTCAAAGCTGGGAAGAGCTCTAGGCGTGAATTTTTAAAGAATCATTTCTCAAGGCTGGGAAGAGCTCTAGGCGTGAATTTTTAAAGAATCATTTCTCAAGGCTGGGAAGAGCTCTAGGCGTGAATTTTTAAAGAATCATTTCTCAAGGCTGGGAAGAGCTCTAGGCGTGATTTTTTAAAGAATATTTTCTAAAGGCTGGGAAGAGGCTTAGGCGTGGATTTTTAAAGAATATTTTCTAAAGGCTGGGAAGAGCTCTAGGCGCGGATAGTCTTTATCACCTTTTCACATTCTCCGACACTTACCTGTACAAAATTAATATTCGCCTGGCGACGTCTCCGCAAATGATGACGTATCTTGAAATCGGTTACATTTTCAGATGACTGTTGTTCATTCGATTGCAGTGCACGAACAGCGGCATTATTCTCCTGACGTCCCCAATAGAATTCATCGTTGTCCGTTAAATCAAGTAAATCTAATAGGAAAAGGTGTTGGGAAAGAGCGTGAGGGAAGGGTCATAATCAGTATCATTAACAAACAGTTATACAATGCAGTTAGCAAAAAACACGAATAATAATTCGAATATCATCTTTAGTTCATTTAATGTCATTCTATTGTTTTTGCTGCGGATTATAATTGCCTGGGATATTAATAATATTTATACACTCGAAGAAAAAAATGTGAGGTTATATGGTTATTTTATGATCGAAATTGAGGTATCAGTTTTATGTAGACAAGGTCTATTAATAAGATAACCCATCTAGATCTATTAATAAGGGCACCCTGCTAGCGAAAGTCAGATGTTTTTTTTCTCAAGTCTAATGTCAAAAATTTGGTCCTTGTTTACGTTTTTATAATGGAAGACAATTCACAATAAGGAATTTTGACAGCAAACTTGAGAGGCAGCTGATAGCCAGCTGGTCTCCCTGGATGACCTTATTTATAGGCCTTGGTCACCCATTAAGACGTAGCCAAACTATCTAAACTATCTATTAATCAGGTCACCCAACTAACGAAAGTCACCTGTTCGTTCTCATGTCTAATGTCCAAGATCTATTAATAAGGTCAACCCAGGTAGCAATCGAAATTGGAAGACAGCCGTGGTTTCTCAAGTCTAATGTCAACAATTTGGACTTTGTTTTCGTTTTCATAATGGAAGTCAATTCACAATAGTGAATTTTGACAGTAAACTTGAGTGGCAGCTGATATCCAGCCGTTCTCCCTGGATGGCTTTATTTATGGGACTTGCTAATGTCAAATATATTTACATTGTTTACGTTTTCATAATAGAAATCAATTCACAATAATGGATTTTGACAGCAAACATGAGAATCAGCTGATATCCAGCTGGTCTCCCTGAATGATCTAATTAATAGACCTTGATCATCTGTTTTTTTTTCTAATGTCAAAAATGTGTGTTTTCTTTACGTTTTCATAGTGCATGGACTATTCACAATAACGGCTTTTGACAGCAAACTTGAGAAGCAGCCGATCTTCCTAGATGATCTCATTAATAGCCCTTGATTCTGAATCAAATCAAATACCTCTTATTATTTATTTTTTTGTTAATTTTATAGACACTTTTTCTCTGAGTCTATTTGCCCAACAACATTTTAACCCAAATGTCAATCAACTTACCGATATAATCTTTGGAGAGTAAACAATTTGACAGGTCCAATAATTGTGTACACAATGCAATTATTAATGTGATTTTAGGCAACATTTTTTTGCATTTGTTATTGCTTATTCTACGTTCCGGTTTATCGGCATAGGCATTTGGTATTATAAGCTGTTGAAATTTTGAAAAAAAATATATTAATTTAATTTACAGTAGGGTATCGAAGTAAGCTATTTTTTTATCAAACATCTGTTTAGGTGACCACTACAATTTCTCTAGAGAAAAAATAGCGGAGTAGTTTTATGACAGCAAATTCTTATGACATGTTCCGTATTAATACAATTTTTAATTTTCCAGGAAAATTGAAGCATTGGGAAAATACAACAAATATAAAATTGCTATTAGTATTGTTGTTGTTAATAAGCTTCATCGTAGCTTATTCATAAGCGGATATGTAGAAAATATGAAATTTATCAGCTCTCTGATAGAAGGGGGAACACGGTGAGACCATCATAACTGTCTTAGAATACCGGAGGAGAGGAGAGACTGATAAGATGGTGGAAGAAGTAAGCAAATGCATAGTTAAAGACACGTCATGAAATATGCAGGTATATGAGGCACAATGGCGAAAAATGACAGAGATAAACCGGATCTCTTGGTTCTGAGGTTCATCCTTTCATGTCTTGCCCTTAGCAATGTCTTTGCTCACTTCTTCCACCATATTATGAGTCTCTTCTCTCCACCGACTGATGATATGTGTGAATAAAACCTATTATTCAATTTATTATTTAAAACAGGCCACAGAGGCATCATAATTAACGAGGTCGATTGGTTGGCTGTGCAAATTACGAAATTTTCCATTTAAAAAGGAAAAAACATTTATTTGTGGGGTATATCAAAACAAGGACCTATATTAAACATTGATCTCAACATTAAATTAATCACAAAGACAACACAGCATGACTATCCTATGTAAGTTACAATTCTTCCCTCTATTTTTTTAGATGGTAGAAAATGAATAGCAGAAGACACAAAGAATGGCGCCCAACCAAATTTGTTTTATTTCCCTCTAAATACAGTTAATATACCAACAATGACCTGAGATTAAGCTGATGATGATGTGACATGAATTGTAGTCCTTACCCAAGGGCCATTATCAATGGCGCCGGTCATTAAAATGTCCTTTGTGTCTATGTTTATGCCTAATACTATGGCTGATGATATAATTTATTACATGAAATCAAAAATCAATGGAAATTATTTTTTAGGAAGCTACAATCTTCGATTTGCATGTATATTCTGTAAGATCATCATTTGAAATATTCCATGCTGATTCCATGCCCTTTTGCCGGTTTCCCTGATGACAGTTCGGACACCTCGGAGTGGTCGTACTTGGATTTCCACAGCGGTAACAAAAAAGCGTCTTCACCATGGCTTTGTGGCATTTCCTTAATGTGTGTCATGGTTTGCTTGACAGTTCCAGGAACTTAGGTTGGGTTTTTTACTCCCTTCATACTTTGAAAACTTCATTGACGATATGGTCGAGTTAATTCAGCTACATTATTTGCAATACTTCTTGGAAAATTCTTTACCTTCTCATTTCATTCAGAGGAAACCACAATGTGATACATTTTTTCCATGCTACTCCTCTTCGGAGCATAGGGCTTCCACAAAACACCGTCATTTTACTCGTTTAGTCTTCCCATGTAAGGTTATCTTATTTTGTTCGACCTCGATTTCTGGATCCCTGGGGATTCCATTCAAGTGCCATTCTGGTTATGCTATGGACATTTTTTCTTAAGGTGTGGCCAATGCATCTCCTACTTTTTATCTATTTGTGTATGGGTTCCTGGTTCGTTAGGTTCCAAAGTTCTACGTTACTTATGGTGTTGGGCCGAAATATTCTGCATATGATCCTGAGGCATATGTTTATGAATACCAGTTGATTTTGCGTGATGGTATTTGACACACTGCCGTAAAGCAGAATGGACTTTATTCATCCTTCGAATATTTTAAGCTTTGTTTTCCTGGATATATGTGTACTTCACCATACACCTTGCAGTCGACCGAATGCTGCTCTTGCTTTTGTTAGCCTTTTAGTTACGTATCTTCTTCGAGAGCAGACTTCATTCATTATTTCATCCAGTACAATTGTGAAGAGTAGGGATGACAGAGGGCATCCTTGTTTTACTCCTACCTAGATGCGAAATGGTTGGCTTATGTTCCCGCTGTGAATTACTAAGAGTTCTGCATTGCTCTTATTATTCGGATTATTTTCTAGGATCCTCCCTTTTTTTTGCTCCATGCCTACCATATGGCAGTTTGTCTGATGGTATCGGAAGTTTTCTTGAAATTGATCAGACCCGTGGATACGACAACCAAGTCAAGAGCCAAGGCCACGAACCAATGGATCAAGATTAAGTAGAAAACAACATCTCGGAACGTGATCTTTCAAATTGGATGAGATGCGCACAAGACCGTCGCGCTCTTTTTTAAGCTCGGCTTATGGAACAACCGTTCTGCCATAAGGGAAGAGACTTATTCCTTTATAGTTATCGTTTTGCCTCCTTTTTTGTGCACGAGGCACAGGATGCTGATGTTTCAATCATTGGGCATGCATTCCTCTGTACTAATCAGCTGACGTATGCTCCTGACGAGCGTCTGGCCACCGGTCTTGAATAGATCGGCTGGTAATCCATCAGTATCTGCTGCTTTATTGTTCTTCAGTCGATTAATTGCTACTCTACCTCATCTTGGCTAGGTGGTATACACTCTATACCGTCATCTCTTATTGGTTCTGGGGTATCTTCTTCAACGACACTAAATGATACCAGAAGCTTTTCCAAATGCTCTTTCCAGATTCTCAACACGCTATCTTTATCTGTCACCAGGTTTCCATCTTCATCTCTACAGGAGGATGTGCCTGCACCAAAGCCTTCGGTTTAGTGTTTTACTCGTTCGCAAAATGTCCGGACTTCATTCTGACTCCTACACATCACATATATGCCAACTATAGATGAATGAGTCTCCTTCCCATCGAATATAAAGTGCTATCCAGCGTTCTGGGTGAATGACTGAAACCAATAATGGTCAATGACATTATTGGGCCATACCAATGCGGCTTTAGACCTGGCATAGACCAGATTTTCACACTGCGCCAACTACTGGAAAAGACCCACAAAAACATATAGACAAATTTCACCCATTCGTCATCTTAAAAGCCGCATTCGGCAGCCCTGTCCATTCAGAGGTGTTTAAAGTCATGTCTGCGTTCGGCATTCCTGCAAAATTAATACGGTTATGCAGGATAATTTTGAGTGGCACAAGATCAGCAGTTAAAGTCGGAAAGGGCCCTTTAATACCGAACGAGGGTTCGGAGAAGGTAACAGCCTCTCGTGTGACCAAAATTTTCTCCAAAATATCTATGGGCCAATCTGCGTCGACGGTTGATATCGGTGTCGAATGTACCATGTAGACTCAGACCAACTGTGGAACTTGAAACGATATTACGGTTTTATATACCTCGGTACCGCCATAAATAAAACTAATAAAATCAGCTTTGAAATCCGGAGGAGTATAGTGTTGGCCAACAGATGCTACTATGGTCTAAGTAAGCAGTTTAGACCAAACTCACACTTCTGCCAGACCAAACTCCCACTCTGTAAGACGCTGGTGTATGGATCTGAAGCATGGGTATTTGCGCAGGCAGATGAGGCAGCTCTTGGAGTGTTTGAGATAAAAATTCTGCGAAAGATCTTTGAGTCGATCTGCGTCGA